TGACAATACCACACTTTCGTCATCATCATCTGAAATATATCAAAAAAACAGTCAGAAGCATAGAACATGTTTGGAGGACAATGGCAGCCGAGAGATGTTACATCTGCGGGCACTGCAACGACTGCGTTGTGAATCTCGAGTATGAGCATCCTGCTGACTGGCTGGAAGATCTTTCTGCGTTCACAGAGATGCTGGAACTTAGGTCGTGTCCGTGGAGGTGCCCAGATAAAGATCGACCGCAGTAGCCGGATTGCTGCAGTAGTAAAAGCGGCAAACATGCCACATCTGCAGCATCATGGTACCGACCTTTGCTTGGACGCAGCTTGTGGGAGCTGGAAGGCTTGCGTACCGAGTGGCACTGAGTGCAACTGGCGCAAATTAATCTGTAGCACTGTTCGTCTGGAGAGACTGTTCGTGACGAACATGCAAAACCAGTATGTTCGTCTGGAGAGACTGTTCGTGACGAACATGCAAAACCAGTAGCCAACTGTTGTTTGTCTGTAAAGTTTTTTTTTCCATCCTGTAGGGACATCGGAGAAATGCAGTGAAACAGGTGTTATCCTTGCCATCATGCTATCGAACTTGCTATCATTCACAGCATTCTTGCACGGAGTTCTAGTTTCTTACGGAGCCTTTGTTTGTGTACTTTTGCATTTTGTAGCATTTCCATTGCGACTATGTTTGCCCACCTTTGTTTGCAACTAAGGTCATCCACGGCATCAGGGAGCTGGAAGGCTTGCGTACCGAGTGGCACTGAGTGCAACTGGCGCAAATTAATCTGTAGCACTGTTCGTCTGGAGAGACTGTTCGTGACGAACATGCAAAACCAGTATGTTCGTCTGGAGAGACTGTTCGTGACGAACATGCAAAACCAGTAGCCAACTGTTGTTTGTCTGTAAAGTTTTTTTCCATCCTGTAGGGACATCGGAGAAATGCAGTGAAACAGGTGTTATCCTTGCCATCATGATATCGAACTTGCTATCATTCACAGCATTCTTGCACGGAGTTCTAGTTTCTTACGGAGCCTTTGTTTGTGTACTTTTGCATTTTGTAGCATTTTCATTGCGACTATGTTTGCCCACCTTTGTTTGCAACTAAGGTCATCCACGGCATCATGGTGCCGAGCTTCTTTTGTATCTCAAAGGTCTTTGTGTGGAAATGCGTCTGACCTCTCTCTCTCTTTATCTCTTCCCCCTCTTTCTCTCTGTGGTTGCAAGACACATGTCATCTGATGCCCTTTACCAAATATTCTCTTCTTGATCAATCTTACTTTTTTACATCATGTCTTTCCATAGCTCATATAAAATTCACCAATAAAATTCACCAACTATTCACCGACTATCTTTTACGACTACCATACTCAGAGCTGCTTGAAACACATCTTTTTCGCTCTCGGGCCAACCGTCGTCTAGTTTTTTCTTCAGGCACCACTGTAAGAGAGCATGCTAACAGTGCCATGCAAGCCTTCATGGTTTGCTCATGCATGCTAGCAATCCCAAGCATTTTTAGCCTCAAGGCTACCACAGTTTGCTTTCTAGCCCAGGAAGTGTTGGGGTTGTCCAACTCTTTCCACTCATCATGTGTCATGTAGTTGTAGATGTGCAAGAGTGTCTGTGGCTTCAGAACCAATGATTTGCTGATATCCACCACACCAAGTGTCATTCTTTGCTCCAAAACATCCACAATGGACTTGAGGTGGGCATCATTCAAACACCTAGCAGCATCTTTGATCCTCACAGCATCACCTGGAGGCAAGTCAGCTAGGCCCTTGATCTTGGCACAAGCTCCTTTGACAAGTGCATGGCAAAAAGAATCATTGGTGTCCTTGCCCTCTATGAGCTTTGACACGTCTTGAATCTCTTTGCAAATGTCACCCACTGTCCACATGGCAGCAGCAACAACAACACCAATGAACTTTCACTACCTTTGATAGACCCAAATGGACTTGCATACAAAGGTTGTGTGTATACTTGCATATGGCATTCCATAAGCAACCTCACAGCTCACCACCATTCAAAAACAAACAATGGCATCTAGGGTGCAATGCAGCATGCCAATGCACAAGTGGTGAGAATATACCATATCATTTGCAAGTTGGTTGCTGCCTATGTTTGTGTGAAGTTCTGACTCTTCACCAACATGGTGGCTTGTGCACAAGAGTTCTTTTTTGGCCAGCCCACTGTCCAGTGTGAACATTCAAAGCAGCAATCCTAAGATGACCAAGTCAAAATGAAGACTGCAGCCACCACTTTGCTGCAAATGTTCTGCCTTCATGTAATATTCAAAATTGTCAGCCCATTATGAGCCATGTATGCAGCCTACTTTTTCTGACCCTTTGGTTCAGATGGCTTCTTGCTGTTCACACTCCTGGATCTAGACCTAGCCCTTTCACTGCAATCAGCCTGTGTTGTAGTACATGTTGAAGATGGCTGCCCAGCAGCTTCCTTGTCATTCTCCTTGTCCAAAGCATTGAAGAACATATAGGCTGCCCCCATCCAAGCTCCAGGCCTTTGAGAGCATGGAAAGTAGCCAAACATGTCCAGATCTTCATCAGGCTTAGAATCAGCAGCTGACATGGCTGCTCACAGCACAATGCAGCACAAACCAACAACACTACAGGTGCTAGTGTTTGATCAAGCAGGCTGCACACCAAGGTCTTGATGATAATGCGCAATGTGCCAGAAGCCAGTTGGTATATTATTTCAATCAAGATGGTGTGTAGCCAAAAGGCTGGAATACCATGCAAACAATAGCAACAGAGTCTCTAGCCTTCCTGGCTCAGTAATACATGCCAACATGTGAGTGAATGGCCAAAACTCTTCCAACATACTGGTGTGTAGCCACAGGGCTTGTGCAGACTGCAGCACATGGACATTGGCAGTGGGTGTGTAGCCTGATGGCTGATTGAATGGACTTTGTACACATCATGCAAAAGTTTAAGAATTCATTTTTCCATCCATGGGCATCATGCTACAACTTGGGTGCAAATACAAGCTGTGACCCTTGACTGTACACATCCAAGCTACATTACCATATGGTGCAACTGACTGCATCAACAAAGACTAAGGCTTGTTGAGTTGATTGCAAGATGAAGTGCATACATTTCAGCAATATTGTTTCACACTTGCACATGTGTCTTCACTGTTCAATCTACCTCACAGTCCTTCTTGGTCAGAGCTGGAGGGAAGGGCAGAACCAGGAAACATTGCTCCATCTCTTAGCCATGGCTGCACATACCTGATGGCAAATTCACTGTACACTTTGTAACAATAGAACATGCGCTCAGTTGCATCACCCAGGCCCTTGCACTTCATGATGGAGTCTTCAACATCAGTCCTTGGTGAATGCCATGTGTAAAGTAATACATGGTATGAAATGTAAATTGACACCTTCTACAGCATTCCCACACAGGATGGAAATTACTTGGCCATGCTGCATGATAATCAGTGTCAATGCACAAGTTATTGCAATCTAGTCTCCATTCCTGCCACCCTGTGCGGTGGACCTCCACAAACCACAGCTTTGCAGTTCCATCTGAAGCAAACTCAACTTTGTGGTAGGAGTATACAAAGTCATCAGCACTGGCAATTGACTCACTGTCAAATGCATCAGGTTGGGAACCATGTCCTCCTCCAATACCATCCTTACCACCACTCTTTCCTTTTTCATTCCCTTTGCCACCATATCCCTTTCTACCTTTACCACCCATGGCAGCCACGCACAGCTACAAACACCTAACCAGCTATCAACTGCAAGCCAAAATTGTTTGGTGTAGTGCATCATGCCATTGAGTATCACCAACAGCTATGATTTGAGTCCACAAAAAACCAAATTGTACAACTACCATTGTGGCACAAAACATGCTCAAGGTTCAAGTCCACACATCACAGTGACCTCATGCAAAGTTGCAAACTGATGGACAGCAAGAATTTCCTACATACAAAGCTAATCAACTGTATCTCACTCACAACATGCAAGCCAGAATTGGCTACACATGGTGCATGATAGCAGAGTGATCAGCAGAAAGGTCAACCACATGTTTTCACATTTGCACAACAAGCTGTATGCTCTTAGCCAAGGTAGGATTATACTCTACCAAATGAAATGTACAAGATATCTACAAAAAATGCTGCCTGCTACAGCCCACAGCAGATATCATTCACCTATGAATTTCAATGTAAGATATGACTTGAAATGTCAAATATATTTGTAAATTCAAAACTTAGGATAGTTCACCAATTTAGATATATATCTAAATTGAAAATGTCGAACAGAAGCTTTCCAATTTAGATATCTAAATTTAAACTTCAAAAACCAAGGTTACCAATTTAGATATCTAAATTCTATATGCCAAAAGTCAGGTTTCCAATTTAGATATCTAAATTTAAAATGCCAAAGAGAAGCTTTCCAATTTAGATATCTAAATTTAAGGTTCACAGAACAATATTTCCAATTTAGATATCTAAATTGGAAGTTTCAGAAATATAGTTCCTAAATTTGATATAAAACAATAATAATCTTGCATATATTATTGTTGAAATTAGAAATAATTGTGTATTTACTAAGCAGACTAAGCATTAATGGTACATCATTCAATACTCCATTGAGTTCAAAGCCAATCCAAGAATGTACTTCTTGTGAACATAAGCATGCATTGTTTCTTTTATTGTTTGCCATTCACTAGCTAACATTGAATACACACATCATGATATTCAACATATTCAAATACAACTGAAACCATTGTAAACTCAACAAAGTTCACAAGGTAAAGCTGGGAGTGGCTTTGAATCCCTGCTGTGGGCTTCATCAGCAGCTGACCGGCAAGATATCTCAGCAGCCTGTGTTCTGCTCATATCCATGAAGTTAGACCAAATTGGTCACTGTGCTTTGCACATGCCCTGAATTGTGTCAATTTCAATATGAAACAGCAGCTTTGTTTTCAATCATAATCAATAATGTTGATCATTGTATGCTTGGTTACTGTTCAATTCATCATATGATCAGTAGTCATACTTGGCATCAGTGCCAAATCTCTCCATAGCCTCCTTGTGCAAATTGAGCATGCCCATGAATTGCTCGTTTTCTTTGAACCTGGGCAATCACATAGAAACTGCATTGTTGGAACATGTACATCATACATCCAGCCATTCATTTTTGTGATGTGAGATGGACAATGTAATTCAATTGGGTGTTGATAAGCCATGCATCCAATCAGAACCATACTATAGCCATTCATGAGGATATCACTACAATGCAAAAGCAGTTTCCACACATGCAAGTATGAAACCATCAACAACACATGGATAACAGTTTGACCAAAGTCACTTATTGACCAAATAGCCCATGCGAACTGGCAATTTCATCTCAAGCGAGGCCACCAAGGCAACACATCTAGATTTCCATGAGTAGCTGACCTTCTCAGTGTCACCCTTAGATCCTGATGCCCTTTCAGGCTTCTCAGTTGAACCAGGCACTGGAGGAGGTGGAGGAGGCAACACACCAGCCTTATGGTATGTTGCCTCATCAATCCTGGGCCTCTTCAACCCTTGACCTGGCTGAGCAGCCTTAGGTGGTGGTGGAGGGCAAGATGGAGGTCCCTCAACCAAATCATTGGAACCCCCATGGTGCCACCACTCCTGCCACTTCTCCAGCTTTGCCTCAGCTTCCTTGAGCTTGGTCTCAAGAGCCTGAGCCTTCAAAGACTCATGAGTCTGACCAAACTCCACTTTGAGTCTGGCAGTCTGCTCATTGTTCCATGGTGCCCAAACTGTCTCCATGTCAACATCCATGCAAGCCAATATGGCAACTTCATCCCATTCAGGGGAACCCTTGCCAATGTCCATGATGGGCTGAGTTGACACAAACCACAGCTTCAAAATGGGATCAAACCAAATGAACAAAGTGTGAGGACAGTTGTATGATGGATCATTGAGATCCACATCCTCAGTCTGAGAGCGGAAAACTGGCATCTGTTCCTTAATGCCAACCTTGTAGTACCTTCCACACAGCTCCAACCTTAGATCATGACAATGTGACATAAGGACAAAATATATAGTATTGAAAATGTCAAGTCGGCATTCACATGCTATACCCCAACAAAACCACATCCCAAACACTGAAAACACATGATTATATTCATCAAAGACACTCATCAGCTGACAAATCAGGACTGCATCCACTGATAACAAGACTGCATGTGTTCTTGATGTTCAGGTTGGAAAGGTTGGTGCTGAATCGCTCACGAAGTGAACTCCTAAGGCTCTGAGCAGCTGCAAGGGTGCCTCTTGGGTCAGGAACATCAGGTGCAGACATGGCTTCAGATGAATGTCACCAGAAATGATGCCAAAGTATGAAGGAAAATGATTTTGACATATTTGCAGTGATCCTTGCTGCTGATTCACATCATGACATGCTTGGAACTGTTGTTCATGATATTCCAGTGATGCCCACAGATACTACAATGCATAATGCTGAAATGGCACAGAACATGTCTAAGATGTAACATCAAGAATGACATGAAGGCCAGGTAGCACAACATGCAACCAATAACATGTGGCAAGTCACACCTTGCCCATCACCAAGTCTCAAACAGCAGCATCACAGAAGATACATGATGTCTCCAACCATTGCACATCACATGGCATGAAGTGGGACATGTTCCAAGTTGATTCAGTGTGGGTGCCTGCAAACATAGTGGTCATCACAGCAGGAGTGTTAAAAATCTAAATGCAACCAGTGGAAGTTCATACACACAGAATGTATCACTGACAGCAACATCCTTGAGATTGGCCCAGTGGATGGCATGCATGGTATGTAGCAAGCATGCTGGTGGCCATGGTGTTGCCACTGTGGTTTGCAACTGGTGCAAATTACAATACATGGCATGCAAGGTGTCTAGCCATCAGGCTTGTTGTCATAGTGAAAACATTCTCTTTCACTAGTGGGCAATGCATGTCATACATGGTTTGTAGCCCAAAGGCTGGCACAAGGACCTGCAAACCTTCACACATACACATGATTCAGCTAATGGTTGTAATGCTACACTTTTGTAACACATCTGGCTGCTTGCATGCATGCAAGTGGGTTTGCCATGCTGTCAGGCACTGTCACAGAATGCATTTTCGAATTTTTCAAGCCAGTGGATAGCATGTCTCATATCCATGGACCCTACTCATCCTTATCAGCATGGCCAGCTGGCTTATCAGCAGTCTTGCTGTGCTTGCCAGTCCTAGAATAAGGTCTTTTGCCTTCTCCCTCAGTAGTGATCTTGACACCAGACTCCTGCATGTAGTAGAAGAACATGTTGACATTGTCATGGGTATAGTCAATCACCAAGTCATCTGTTGGCCTTGCACAACTTTTGATAGCCAGAATGGCGCCCTCATCATTCAACTGGATGTCCAAAGGCTGATCAGGGGACAGTTTGTCCTTAAGTTTTCTGGCTTTTTTGGCTGGTGGCTCACCAGCTTCTTCCTGCCCAAAGAGGGCATCATGAGGTGCAGCAAAGACCTTTGCATTCCTTTTCTCCACCAGAGCCCTGTAGCCCACAGAGTCTTTGATGGTAGGCCTTGCTTTGGGGTCTACCTTGTCAGTGCTAAGTAGGTTGCACAAGCCAAAACAGCTAGCCCTCAACTGCAGCCAATGGCCACCACCTTCCTTCTCTTTGATCATGTTGTCTGGCAGCTTCCATTGTTTGGAGTTCATGGTGATACAATGCTGCACAGAAAGTTGGGCCATGGCAGCACTCAGGCTGATAAGTAGATATCATACTAAAGCTAAAAGCTGCTGAAGTATACATGCACACAAGGCCATATGCCCACAAGGTTGATGCAGGTTCAACACATGCAATTAATAACTTGGTGCCAGAAAAACATGACACTGGCAGTGAAAACCCTACAGCAACAATGCACAATATGGGATTGTTTGACATGTGTTGGTCATGCAAGTAGGTCACAAGTTCCTTCCCACATCTAAGGCAGCACCCCATGTGTAATGGCAGCTTTGGATGGCATTTCTTTTGCAACCATGCAGGTCCTGGGTCAACATATTGAGTGCTGTGTACCAGCTTGCCGTGGCCATTTGAGAAATGATGGCACTTACCTGTTTGCAGCAATGGCTTGAAACTGAGTATAGAGGACTTGTAGCAACAACAACAAAGCACACATGTATCAGTTCCTGTGCAATACTAGTATCAACACCATATAATAAAACCATTCCTTTACTGTTTGATTTTCTTTGCAGCTGGAGCTTTGCCAGAAGCTTCCCTTTTGGCACTCTTACCCTTGCCCTTGCTACTGTGAGCAGCACTAGGATCCACTACTGAGAGCATAGTCTTGGCAGGCAGCTGCTTGGGGTTGGAGAGAACCTGAACCTTCAAGCCCTTGACATCCTTCATCTCAAATGCCATGTTGGAATCCTCCTTGACCATGGCGCCACATGCCACCCAAAAGGGAACAACCAAACCAGTGCATGTCCCATCAACACATTTCCAAGGCTTGGGTGGCAAGATGTACCACTCAGTGCCCCCATAGGAGACCTTTGCAAACTTGGACAGCTGGCCAGGCGACTTCAAGACAATCTTGTCAACCTTGTCAGTCATGGGGACCATAGTCAAATCATGTTGTTTGGCCTGGCCATCAGTGTAGATCCTCTTGACAGGGTCCTCCTGGATCAACACTTTCTTGTGGTAGGACTTGCACATGCTAAACAACACACCATAGATGTAAGCCCTGTCATTTTCCTCTCTGCAAACCAAAGTAGGGGTCAACTTTGCTGCATCATCAGCAATTAATGCAGGTGCCTTCCCCTTTGAGGGTTTGAGTTCCTTTGTGACCTTGATATCCTGCACTGTGATTGTTTTTTTTGTATTTTCAAAGAGCTCCTGTGCCTCCAAAACAAGGTGGTCTGCATTGATTTCTTTCAGTAGGAAAATGTGTGGCAAGTCCTTGTGGTTGTAAAAGTTTCCTATTTTGAGTTCTATGCTTTGCATTGCCAAAAACATTGGGTTTTTTGCTTGCTGGAGATCCACTGCCTTGCTTGACTGGCTGGGTTGGCTTGCTTGGCTTGTCACTAGCAACTGCGCTGTGGGTGTGGATGAAGCAAGCTCATTGTCATAAGCACCCTTGATGCTTTCAATGTCCTTGTATTCTTTGTTTTCTCTGCCCATTTTCCATTTGCCAGTAAGCAAAAGGATTGCCCTGATGCAGCACTTACCAAAAGCCTTGTAGTAGATGTGCTTCTTCTCTTGTGGGGCTGCAAACACCTCCCCCCACTTAGATTGCAGCAAGCTCTCAACATCTTGAACTTGTTGCCTAAGCTTTGTTCCCTTGCACCTCTCTACATCACTTTTGGTGAGCAGCCTAGCAAAGCCATCAACACACCTAGCTTTGCCACAGGTCAGGTTGGTCACAATGAGGCCACATCGCAGGAATGGGAACAGGTCCACATTGTTGATCACCATGTCAACAACAGAGGAAAAGAATTCTATTCCAAGGACAGCATTCTCTCCAAACTCTTTGCTGAAGACATTCAGGAAATCAAGTAGCTGGCCATTACCTTGGTATCATCATGTGACAAGTTGATAAGCTAGGTGCACCACAGTCAAACAAAAATACATTCATAAAAAACACAATGCAAAAAAATCAACCCAAGTGCCAGAGTAGAGCTTGACAAACTTCCCAATTGTTTTGGCATAATCTTGGACATTGCCCCCTGTACAACAATGCATGGACACCTCATCCCAGTTCACTTCCTTTTGGGGGTTGCTTGATACAGCATCCCAAATTGAAGATGCCAATTCCATTTCTGATTGGGAGGCAAAGACTGAGTTGGGGCAGTTGAGGGCATGCTGGATGAGTTCTGGAAGCTGTGGAAATTGTGCTTCCACAGTGTGTGGCAGCACTAGCCACTCCCACCCAGCTTCAACCATAGTTTTCAAGTCCCTGTCAGACTGCCACACATGTGCTCCAAGCTTGCCATTAGTGCCTGCCAAATCTTCTTCACAGGTTGGGCACCCATGCACAAGGGCCTTCACAAATTGGCATGTATGCCCACTGCTGAGAGATGCATACCTCTCAGTGCCCAGCAAAGGGGACAGCAAAGGTGTGGAAGCAACCAGCTTCTCAAAAGGATCTATTTGTTTTTGCCTTTCAGCCATATTGGGGCTCAGCTCTATGCAAACACTGTTCCCCAACAAGCTGATGTCAGCACCAGCTTTCATGATCTGCAAGCCTTTGCGGTGACAACCATGTGGGCTAATGAGGGCACCACTTCGGTTCTTGGGGTGAACAACAAAAGCTGTTGCCTTTGCAGTAGCCACATAGGCAACCCCACACTCCAACAGCATGTCCTTGATGGATTTCCACTTCTGCAAGGGCCCCAAATCAGAAGCCATGATCTTGGTGATGTGATCAACTGCCTTTGGAGGAATGGCCAT